ACACTTGGTCGCCAGCAAATGATGATGTTTGGGGAGGTTGTGAAACCTTCAGGAAGTGGACCTATCTAAAGGAAGTGATTGAGTAGAGAGTGGGCCTTGGGAATCACAGCCCACTTTGAGACTTCTGATCTCTCTGTGTTTGGGCCAATGCCATGTGAACAGGTAGCCACTCCCATTCCTGGTGCCTCCAAACCTCTTTAGCTGCCAGGCTTTCCCCACCCCAAGGGACTGTGTAATCCTGAACTGTGAGCCAAACCAAAATACTCCACTGTTCAGCTGCGTCTGTCTCATCAGAGGAGGAAAGTAATAACAAGCTGTCAATCACCCCCAACATAAAGAGTATCCAGCCAGAGCCTGGCTCTTTGCGGCTCTGATATCTCTTTCTACCCCGATCCCTGCTCATCTGTTTCCTGTCACCACTCAGGGCTCCAAGTTCCTTAAACTGCTGGTCAGCTCCAGACGTACCCATCATCTTCCCTTTCCTCGAAGCTTTTGCTCTGTGTTCCCTACAACATCTTGGGATCTGCTGGTGGATCTTCAATGTTGTTTCTCCTACCTTCATGGAAATACAGACTTACTTTTTGAGACAAGGGCTGGTCTTGAACTCGCCCTTTAGCTGAGGCCTACCTTGAATCCCTGATCCTCCTACTTCTACCTCCCCAGTGCTGACAGTAAAGGCATGGTGTTTAAAAGGTTTGTCTGTATGTTAACCGCCCAGCACAAGTCTGTCTGGCTTTCTGTGCCATCCTGTTACTAAGGTCTTGTCAGAGGTAGGTGAACAGGACTGGAGCATGGCTCTTCCTCAAGTTCCGACCATCTACACCCCACTCATCCTCCCTCTCCCTTCATGCTGGTGAAAGCCCAAGAACCTGGCAGACTTCAGAGAAGAAATTACAGGACACAGACAACAGAGCCACCTCGCTGCCCTGCATCACACTCCTGTGACACACTTAGTGTCTAAGTCCCTTTACTTAGACTTTGGTCATGGCAGCAGGTGAGCCTGTAGCCTTACTGTGTGTACCTGCTAGCTTGCTTTCTTTGTTCTGTATGGTAAACCGCGAAGGTCACCTCCTAGGTGACATTTGCCCTGTGTTCCAGACCTCTTGGGGGCTCTTCGGTACCTCATAGTGCTCCTCACATAATGTCTGAACCTCGCAGTGGTGGCTGTAGCCCCATCCACTGACCTGGCCAAAGCATCTTTTCCTCTCCCCTTCCATCCCTCTTCTAAGCATGCGCCTGTACTGGGGCTGACAAGAACTACATCACCCCGAATTCCCACTGTTGCTGCCCGAACCTTCCAGACTGATATTCATGGCCCCAGCCTCCCAGTCCACTAATAGACCAGTCTAAGGCAGAAGGGATGGGTCCCACAGCGGCACTCCTGTCCCCAGCCCCACCCAGCCCCAGCACAACAACGACGACACTCCTGAAGGAGCTGTTTCCTTGCCAGCCAGAGCCTATATTGTCCCATTCCTAATCTGTTAGTGAGAACAGGGACAGAGAATGTATGAATTTCCCTGGTCTTTGTACTGGCTTCAAGTGGTCTAGGAAATCCCACGGTATGTATATCTGTTCTCAGGACCCTCCCCGCTACCCAGTGTGCTTTGCAAAGGGTCCACACCCATTTCTCAGCTTCTGGCCCTCCTCCCTGAGGCTTGACCTCTGGCATCCTGTCCTGAGCCTGCAAGCCCATCACTGCCCTGGCAAACAGTGTCTGTGGCAGGATGCTGGGGCAGAGCTATTTTGGGGCAGGGAGGATCTCAGGAGGATGCTGGCGAGGTCAGTGTAGAAAGGAAAGGAGGCAGGTTCTCTGCCCTCGATTGTGAGGCCCGAGCCTTCTGGATGCTGCCCAGGGACCCAAGGCTGCCACAGGGAAGAGCACACCCACCGCAGGACTCCAGCTTTGGATTCTCTTAACCAAAAAAGCCAAAGGGGGCAGGCATGGGTTTGGAGCTGTAGGATCTGGTCCATCAGCCACTGTAGGCAGAAAGTGTTGTTTATCTGCTGTGATCAACAGAGAGAATTTCAGATCAGTCAAGACTCGAGGTATAGTGCAGGGTAACACATGTGAAGCAGATTAATGGTGGGGGAACTATGAAGAAGAATCTAACCACTTGTTTATTAATATCCATTGAGCACCTACTGTATACAGGGACAATATTAAGTGCCAGTAGGAGAATGGTGTGTAATCCTCTGTGTTTGTCTATTTTGACAACTACAATGTACAATCAGGAGCTATGGAGAGATTTGTAAACTCTGACCCCAAGACAGTGACCTAAACTGAAGAGCTCAGGTACTGGGAGGGGTCAGGGAGGGCTTTCCTGACCCATTTGAGGATTTGTAAGAATCTTGAATGCTCAATTTGCCTTCTTCTTTTGACCATGAGTTCTGTTTTGTTCTTCACAAGAGGGTCTCATGTCATGAGTCTCAGGCTAGCCTCTCTGACTCACTATGAAGCAAGGGATGGCCTTGAACCCCTGATCCAGTGCTAGAATTATAGAAACAAGCCATCACACCTGATAGACTATACACATACACACACACATACACACATACACACACACACATGTATATATATAACATCAGGTAGGAATATAAGCTAGGAATATATACATATATGTACATATGCATACATACACATACATATACGGTAGGGATGGAACCCAGGGCTTCATGCATGCTAGGCAAGAACTCTATATTCCCAGCCATTTTTTTTTTAGCATCTTGAGAGAAGTTACCCCCCCCCCATATGAGATGCATACTGTCTGCACACAGTAGGTGCTCACCTGGAGACAGTGACAGGAATGGCTGTTAGGTAGAGTAGGTGTGAGATTCCTATCAAGGAAATTCTTTCACTATGGGCGGGATGCCTCTGCTTTCTCTAGTCAGCAGGGGCAGGTGACTACCATGGCCTTGAACATGCAGCCAACACTGCCCCCAATGCCAGGATATGGCAGTTTAGAAAAGAATTTTGGTGTATCATTGACAGACAAGAGACGGCTGGGGAAATTAGATGATGATGAAGATGCTGATGCTGATGCTGCTGATGCTGCTGATGCTTCGTGTCAGCCAAAGATAACAAAGTCAGATAACAAGCCCATTGATCTCTCCCACATATTTGCCGGGTGGCCTTTATCCTTGTTTCAAACAAAGCACCTGAGGTACAGAAAACATCACAACTCTGAAGGGGGCTACTCAGCTGGCAAAGGTCAGAGACAGAATTCAAACCTGATACCACTCTTGTCTAAGACAACAGACACAATCACACAGAACTTGCGTATCCCCAGAAACCTGCCCAGAGCCTATCACCCCACCATTACTGGTGCCTCAGCTCGTTAACCTTGGCAGCTCATGCATCTAGCAGAAAGCTTTCTTGGACGTCAGGGCCCAATCTCTTGAGCCCAGAGAGAAGAGCTGGCTTCCTAGGGCTCTGGACACCTTTTTAATTAATCCAGGCAAGCAGCTTGTGATGGGACCAGTGACCCTTATCACAGCCTCACATCTGGAGAGCACACCAGCCCATTCACACCTGGCCATCACAAACCTCCACTGCATGTATGTGTAGCAGGCTGGCTAGTTAGCACTGTCAGGTCTAGTGGGTTTAGAATCACGAAGGTGGGGAAGCGGGAATCTCTGGGTGTGTCTGTGAGGGCATTTCCAGAGTAACTCGGCTGATGAGGGTAGACCCTCCCTGGGCTTCATCCCACAGACTAGAGTGACTAAAAGAAGGGAAAGACAAAACGGCAAGCTGAGAACTGATCTTGCTCCCTCTCCGCTCTGCTGAGACATGACCGAGCAGTCACTGCTGCCACAGACAGGGACTGAGTCTGTGATCCTGCCTTGCCCGTCACGAGAGACTGTACTTCCTCCTACTGTGAGCCCAAACAAGCTCTTTGTCCCTTAAATTGCTTCTTGCCAGGTATGTGGTCACAGCAAGGGAAATGTCAAATAACATGTATCTGCCAGTCTCTCTTTCCTGGCTCACGGAACGTGTAGAGGGTTTCTAGAGGGTTCTGAAGCCAGGGGAGGACCTTTCCCAGAGCTCAGAGGCAGCCTTTCCAAGGGCCATTTGCCCTCCATAGTTACCCAAGAAGCTTCAGTGTGCACTAGGAGATCCTGAACAGGGCAAGGCCTCTAGCAATTACTTAAGTACGTCTCTCTGACTCTAAAATCTTTTTCTTTCTGTTCCTTCAAAGGGTTATAGCTCAGTCCAATTACTCAAGCAAACAGTGACAATTTACCATCTGTCATTAGCTTAATGAACATGGTCAGAAGCCTGAGGAGTCTTCAGACACACACTCACATACCAGTGTTTTTCACTGGTGACAGTGCACTTGAACCCAACACCAAATATGATGTGTGCAGTGAGCAGGCACTCTGCGCCCAGCTTTGAACATGGAGAGAGACCGTTGAGGAGTAGATTGTATAATAAGGTTCTGTGGCATCCTGGATCTACTCATGCAAGATCAGAAAACAGCCAAAGCAGAATTTGAATCCAGGCTACTATACTTTCAGCACCACAGGGCCATCCATCCATCCATCCATCCATCCATCCAGGTCACAGATATTCTAGTATACTTATGGCACCTTCAGAAACTAAAGGTACCACAGTGGTGTGCTATGCTGAGGCTCTGTATTTGCTGGGCTGATTTTTCCCTCGGCCTCTGTCATGAATTTCAGAACGTGATCACACCTACCAAACCGTATGCTTTCAACGTAATCACTTCAGAGACTGCCGGGTGTGCAGAGGAATTAATGAGTGGGTGTGGGCTGAGGTTAATGACTGGTGGATGGTGCATGCATGGGTGGAGGGGGAGAGGAATGGAAGAAAGGACGGATGGAGGGAAGGATGGAAGACAAGCAGCCGTATCCACGAGAAGATGTAAAGTACCAAATCAGAGGTGGTAGCCGAGCTGGACAGTAATACAAGGAGGACTTCTGAGAGGTGGTGCCTGGCCAAGATCGCCGATGTGACCTCACTCCTTTGCAGGGCTCCTTACCTGGTGGGCAGTTACATCCTGGAGACATCTTCGGGGCCTCTCGGCGCCTGCGTGAGTAGAACTTCCATTTCTGCACAAAAAGACAAAGAAAAATCATTAGGAGCTCATAAAGCTACAGCCTTGAAAATCCAGCATGGGGGATGAAGGGAAGTGCATGGGGAGGGGAGGGGCCAACCAAGGGATGCGGGGGTCAGGGGTCAAGGGGAGAAAGCCTGGCAGTTCATGGCCCTCCACGGCCCACATGAACAGTCCTGGCTCTCAAATGCTCCTCACGCAGAAGACAAGATACAAGATAAGGCTTCTCACGGTCACTGTAGTGTCTGATATCTACAGCAGGCTCTGCCTAGGGCCCTATAAACTAGTCACCTACTGTGACTTGATGGCACATGTCCCTTAGCTCCTGGCTATTGTTTTCCTCCCCCAGATGGGTACCTGGGCGGGGACAAAGCCTTCTGTTCTACTTGCCCCCACAAGGTTAGCCTAGGCAGGAGGACAAGGGTGGGTGATGGTGGGCTGGGGGCGCAGAGCAGCCCTAGAAACCCCTCTCCATCAAACCTCTTGCATCATGCTTTGGGATTGCAGAATCAATCGGGAAGACCCCAAGAGATGGGATACCTCAAACCCCAAGAAGCTCCGTGTGCATGGCAACAGTCAAACATGTTTGTACAAAATGGCTGTGCGCATGGTAGACTGCTTCTGGAGGTCAGTATGTGTGTGCCCTCTCTGTAGCGGGGAGTGTGCTGTGTGCTTTACCTGGGGCTCTTACGTGAGCCTTGTGTCTTAAGGTTTCCACTGCTGTGAGGAGCTGCCACAGTGAAGGCAGCTCTTAAAAAAAAAACATTTCATCGGGGCTGGCTTAAGGCTTGTTGAGGTTTGGTCTTTTGCTAGCGATTGTCATGCTAAGTATGGCCCCCAAGACCTGGAGTCTGTAAGTAGCCCCTGTGACCATGCCCCCAAGTTAATTCTAATGGCAAAAAAGGATGTCAATTCAGCTGGGCAGAAGAGACACAGATGGGGTTGAGGTTTCCCAGGCTTGGGGTTGGAAAAGAACCATGAGGAGAGAAGGCAGAAGGAGGGAGGAGAAGCCATCATGGGTTAGGAGTCAATAACAGTCCAGATAAAGCAGTAAATAATGACTCGGGGTTATCAATAGGAAAGTAGATCCAACAACATAGAGAGTGTGTGCCTTTCATCTGAGAACTTAATGAGCTAAGGCGGGGTAGAAACCCCGGGGTTGGTATTAAATAATTTTTAAAGGAGACTGTGTGCCACACTGAGCATAGCTTGAACATGCATTTGTATGTATGTGTATACGTATATGTACATGTACATATACATACATATACATATCTCCATCCTCAAAGCCTGACTACACAATGACATACCTCCTCCAACAAGGCCACATCTCCTGAAGTGCCACTCAATAATGGGCCAGGCATTCATATACATGAGTCTATGGGACCATTCCTATTTAAACCACCATACCTTGCTAGGAGGTCGGTCTGGGTAGCACAGGGAATGATTGAGGCCCCTCTGGAGACTCCATGTCTCCAGCTCTGCCGTTCACAGAACACACCATGTATTTCATAGACTTACACCAGCTCCACACTACAGCTGCTTCTGTCCTTGGTGGTCGTCCCACGGCCCTGGCATCTCCATGGGCCGCACCTTTACCAATGGCCTGGGCTCCCCTATGACCCCTTCAATCCTAGGGTCTCTACTACAACCGGGGCTGCGCCTTCACCGATGGCCTCTTCTGGCCTCTGCAGGTCGCCAGCCTTAGCTGCAATACTTGGCTCTGTGAATCCAGAAGCTGCCATGTTGCCAAGAGCAGCCATAAGCGGGTGACTCTAATGCATTCACTAAGTTTGCCTGCCAGGATGAAGTGCAGCCGTGGCCCCCTCTGGAGAGTCCCCAAAGACAATGCTGGCTCGTCCTAATCACTGCTACTTTCTCAGCTCTAGCTGAAGAGCTTCTACTGTCTCCGCAAAAAGAAGGTTTCACCTTAGTGGTGCTGGGCCTCTTGTTCATCCCAGCTGACCAGACACCAAAGAGACTCAGGTCAAAGTATCACATGAACAGCACTGACACAGGGTCTTTGAAGAACTCACACACTTCCCTCTGAAACTACCCAAGCTGGTCTCCACTGTCCACACTGGCATATCATTCTCTTCCGTGGCCCTCCCTCCACAGAACAGCCCCCAACAAGCCCACACAGAACAGCCCCCCAAAATCCCCCCACAGAACAGGCCCCCCCCAAACTCCCCCCACAGAACAGCCTCCCAAACTCCCCCCACAGAACAGCCCCCCAAACGCCCCCCACAGAACAGCCTCCCAAACTCCCCCCACAGAACAGTTTGTTGAGCTCAAGTATTCAACAGCTTTTTCAGCTCCAAGTTTCAAACTTCTTCCCCAAACAGCAGACCCCCACGCACCTGGTAACAATGTCTGTCCTGGTTTGCTTTGTATTGTGGTCAACATCTTGACGGAAGGCAACTTGTATAGGAAAGCCTTTACTTGTCATCATGAAGGGAAGGAAGTCAGGGCAGAAACTCAAGGTGGAACCCAGAGGCAGGAATGAAAGCAGAGACCCAGAGGCAGGAGCTGATGCAGAGGCCATGAAGGAGTGCTGTTCACTGGCTTGCTCTCCCTGGCTTGCTCAGCCTACTTTCTTATAGGACCCAGGACCACCAGCCCAGGGATGGCCACACCCACAATGAGCCTCCGCCACTGATCACTAATTGAGAAAATGGCTTACAGCTGAATCCCGTGGAGACATTTTCTCACTTGAGGCTCCTTCTTCTCTGATGACTTTAACTTGTGTCGAATTGACACAGGAAACCAGCCAGGACAGCTGGCTACCTTCCACCCCTCCCCACCTTGCAGAGGGTTTCCTTCCATTGGCTGATCGGCCCTCTGGGACGCGGAGTCTGGTGGTCGGTCCTTGTCCTCCTGACCCGGGGCGGTATTTACACACTTCTCCTCTGTGCACTCTCTGCACTTGGTTCCCAGGAAGCCACGCTTTCTACATTCCCATTCTTCCACTCTGGCCAGTCCTTCTCTTCCTCCTTTGCCAGTCCCATCTTGTCTACTCACTACCTAAATGTCTCACGCCACAGGGCCATGGTCGAGGGCCTGACCTTTGTCCTCTACACACTGGCTCTCCAAGACCTTGCCTGGTCTAAGATCTTCAATACTGTCTATGAATGCCCTAGCCAGTGTTCTATTGCTGTGAAGAGACACTATGGCCAAAGCAACTCTAGTAAAATAATTTCACTGGGGCCTTGAGTTTCAGAAGCTTAATCCATTATCATCGAAGGGAGCATGGTGACAAGCAGGCATGGTGCTAGAGAAATAACTGAGAGTTACATCCTGATCCAAAAGCGGGGGGCGGGGGGGGGAGGGGACAGGGGAGGAAGAGAGAGGGTGGGAGAGAGAGGGAGGAAGAGAGAAGGAGCACCTGGGCTTGGTGTGGGTTTTTGAACTCTCAAAGCCCACCCCCAGAGACACACTTCCTCCAACAAGGCCACACCTCCTAATCCTTCTAATCCTTTCAAACACTTCCATTCCCTGGGGACTAATAGATGAGCCTATGGGATCTATTCTTATTTAAACAACTATAATGATTATAGACAGTTCCATATCCACATCTCTAGCCTGAACCTTCCTCGGGGGCATATGATCAGCTGCTTTTCTGACAAGTGACTCTTTGACATCTTGGAAGAGGGTCCCAAGACCAAGCTCCCAGCCTGCAGCCTGTCCCTCTCATACATGCCCCATCAGAGCCAGCTCAGTTTGTCTCCCTGCCTCACTCAGCCAGCAAACACCTCCATCCTGACTTGTAGACACTGAGCATCAGAACCCTTTCCCCAACCCCAGTGCCACCGCTGGCTCCAGACACAACTGGACCCCAGTGACCTTGATAACCTTCTGCCCACACCCTAGATCCAACCTTGGCCCAGCACCCTCATTCTCAACCATTGCTAGAGCCACTATCTCTCCAGGCTTTCCCCTACCCCACGGCCTTTGCACTAGTGATTGCTCCCTTTCTGGAATGTTCTTTTTCTAGCTGTCCACCGGGTATGCTACTAATGAGATCGTCCTTGCTTCCTGTCTCCCTCCCTACTTCATTTTCTCTTTTACATTTTCCTCTCTCTCCTTTATTGCCTCCCCTCTGCCAACAGAAGGTCAATTCCACAGGAAGAGGAACCATATGTTCTGTGTTCCTCATCACCGTGGCCCAGGGCATACAACAGAGCCTAACATTCAGTAACCCCGGCTATTTACAAATCAGACTTCACAGTAAGCTTGACTCAGGCCCTGTTGCGGTGGGCTGTGACTCAGTCAGGTGCTGTGTGCCTGCCAACCCCTCTCAGATGGGAATGAGTGACCCAGGTCACCAAGGCACACCCTCTGGGTGGCCAGCATTGGTTGCTTAACCCCCTAGCTCTGGCCTCTTAGGTATCAGAGTTGGAGGCCCTAGTGAGAGAGGCCAGACTAAGGCTGGAGGTGGGTGGGGCACTCTGCAGTCCTAGTTGGAGGGTGGACTCCAGCACTCTACACAGAGGGGGCCCTTCTGCTCTCTTGGCTGGCAGCCAGGGCCTCCTGGAATGCCCTGTGTGGCCAGTGCTGAAACACCACCGGCCTGATGGGTCGCAGCAGCTATTAAAACACCGGTGTCAGTATCAAAGGGAAGATGCCAGGCAGCCACACGCTTCCCCAGAGCCTCAACTTGGGTTTAGGGGCCAGTCACTCCCTGTGTCCTAGCTCAGAACCCTTAAAGGGACCAGGCGCCTGCCCATCCCAGGCATCAGTTACACATGAATACAGATGGCAGCAGAGGGGAGGGAGGCCAGAGGCCCACTGTGACTGTCACTCCAGGGTTGGCCCTCAGGCAGAGGCTACAAAATAAGATGTCACCTCCTGTCAGTCACCCAGGTGCTGAGGTAGACAGTGCAGCAAGTATCAGGGATAATCACCAGGAGAGTGACACCTTCCTGTGTTAGGCTGTAGCTCAGTGGCATGAAGAAGCGTTTGCCTGGGCTATGCATGAGGTTGTGGTTTAAATCC